ATGGGCATCACTTTGAAGTTGTAACCGATAACAACCCTCTTACCTATGTCTTGACCACAGCTCGTCTGGATGTCCCAGGACATCGATGGCTGGCAGCCCTTGCAAGTTACAACTTCAGCATAAGGTATAGACCAGGAACAGCCAATACCGATGCAGACACATTGTCTCTCGTTTACCAGATTGGAACAGACCAGAACCAACGGAGGACATTCCTACAGACTCTGTTAGTGCCATCTGTGGAGCCATTCACACAACCAACCTTGTGGAGAGTTTGTGTCTCTCAGCTTCCATAGTTGGAGATGAAGAAGTGACCGAGGACATGTGTGACATGAATGCAAGGGATTGGAGGAGATTGCAAGCCAAGGACCCTGCCTTAGTTGAAATCATTCAACATCTCACAAAACAAGACTAAGATCGATCCGATCTAACTACATCGGGGACAAAGAGATGACTACATTGCTGAAGAATTACCATCACTTCAGGCTGAAGAGGGGCGTGTTATACAGAGTTATCTGCGTGGATGAAGCTGACCAGGAGCAATTGGTCCTTCCAGCTAGATGTCGTCAAGCAGCTCTGCATAGTCTACATGACAACATTGGCCACCCAGGCAGAGAAAGGACAATATCTCCTGAGGGACAGGTTTTACTGGCCAGGGTGACAAAGGACGTTGAACTCCATCTGCAGAACTGTCCAAGGTGTCTACGCCGTAAGACAGCTACTACAAGTCGTGCTCCACTCGTAAACATTCAAACCTCACAGCCTCTAGAGTTAGTGTGTATGGATTACCTCAGTTTGGAACCTTCCAAAGGTGGACAAGAACATGTTCTGGTAATTACTGACCATTTCACACGCTACGCTCAAGCATATCCAACCAAGAATATGACAGCAAAGACCACAGCTGAAGTTTTCTTCAATAACTTTGTAGTACACTATGGACTGCCAAAGAGGATTCACTCAGACCAAGGTGCCAATTTCGTTGGGAAACTGATGTCAGAATTATGCCATATGTTGAAAATTGACAAGTCACGTACCACCCCTTATCATCCTATGGGGAATGGGATGTGTGAACGATTTAACCGCACACTCTGTAACATGCTTGGTACCTTGGATCCCGACAGCAAAAAGAATTGGAAGGCACATGTTGGACCATTAGTCCATGCTTACAACTGCACTCGCCATGAGACAACATCACTATCTCCATTCTTTTTGATGTTTGGGAGACATCCTCGCTTGCCAGTCGACCTCGCTTTCGGACTTGATATCGATCCATCGAAGTCAATGTCAAGGTTAGATTATACCAGATCTCTACGAGAACGTCTCAAACATGCTTATGATGTAGCTTCCGCATCGGCCAAGAAAGCCCAGTCGAAACAGAAAACCTATTATGATCATAGGGCCAGAGCTGCCACATTAGAGATAGGAGACCGAGTTCTGGTGAGGACTGTTGCTTTGATGGGAGACACAAGTTGGCGGATAAATGGGAAGAAGATGTTTACGTCGTTTTGGATCAACCTACCCCTTCCATCCCAGTGTATGTTGTTGGTAAGGAGAATGGGGATGGGAAGAAGAAGACTCTACATCGGAATCTCTTGTTGCCAGTTGGGTCTATTCCACGTCAGGAAGTACCAGTTCCAAAGCCGAGGAAATGCGGGGAAGCTTCACCTGAATCTAAAACGGATCTAGTAACAGTGAAGTCAAGACCAGTTCCAAAGCCACGGAGACAGAGCAAACCTTCACCTGAACCTCAGCCCGACCAAGTTGCGTCTGATGATGATGAAGATAGAAGTGGAGATGAAGAGTTAGTCAGGATCTATGAACATCCTTTGGATACTTCAGTGTCTGCTGACAATGCAGCAGATAGGCCAACTGAAGATGCAACAGAACAGGAAATGGAATCAGAGGACAATAATGCCATCACAGAAGAAGAAATTGAAGACACTGATCATGACTCCCATAGACAGAATTCATCTCAAGAAGAAGTTGCTGATGCTGATCATGATTCCCATGGACAGACTCAATGGCAAGATCATCATCCTATGCCTGCTGCAGATACAGAGGAAGAAGAACAAGCTCCGCTACCCCAGATGCAGACTCCTGCTACCCTACCACGGCGATCTACCCGAGCTCGGGACACAGCCAAGGTGGATGTCAGGAGGAGAATTTGCTCTCTCAGCAATAGCTCAACCTGATTGGCTTGTGCGAGCTAATTATCTTGGCTCACTACTAGCCCAGGGTGTATTTGGCAGCCAACAGCATAGAGCATCAGATGCTATTTTGGACCTTATCACCGGTAAAGACAAATGACGAGGACGCCATTTCCTTGTGGGGAAGTGTGTGGCGGATATATAATATTGTATTTTTACAGTCATGTGCATATTAGTTTTAATATTATTAATTTTATGAATGTTAACAGTTACATTGCAGTTTCAGGGATATCGTTTCATATTTGGATATTTATCGATATGTGTATATTAACTGTCACTTTGCATTGCAGGTATAATATTTCTTATTTATAGTAATGAATGTTTTTATCAACAGGTCTGTTCATTTTGAAACTGACTATACTCATCTTAAAGCATGTCTATTAATAGCTATGTAGTCAGTGCTATTCTAGTTTAATTAAGGGGGTTAGGTAGGGCCATTACATTATTATGTGCCCTCAGTTGATCCAATCTGATTGATCATTCAAACTCTTGCCCTCTTTACTAATTCAAATCTTCACTTCACTGTCACTGCTTGCACCGACAAGACTTTATCCCATGTTGGAAATTTATCTACTTTATAAGATCACCACAGGTCAGTTTAAGCTTTTATATCAATTAATCAGTGTGTATACCTTTAAATGTTATATTGTTAATGCTTATGTGTAAATATAAACTGTAACTTGTGTGTAAGTGTAAAGTTAGGTTTAGCTTGTTAGGGTCACTAAGCTAAATTGCAATCCAATAATCTTTTAGTATCCAAATAAATGATTCAGTTCATTAAAGTGTTTTCTCTCTCCTATGAGTGAATAGTTATATATTTGCACGTTTGACTGATTGATTTTATAAATGAAAGAAAGTATAGTGTGTATGTGAATGTAAATATGACTGCGATATAAGTTTGAACCGCTTATATTATATCCTAGGTTTTTGAAATGGTAGAATATATATATATATAGTTTAAGCTATTGCAGCTTTAACGTTGATCATTGTTTATACAGATTGTACGTACGCTTGGCTTGGCGGCTTGACAGGGCTGTACTCTGCACCCTAGTGCCATACACCGGGTAGGCATTACATTGTGCTTGATTGTATGTATTTATGTAGCATTGTATACTTTTGGGCATGTTTATAGGATTTATATGCCTCTACCTTAACTATATTTGTCATTAATATGTAATCAGTAAATCAAGGAGTGATCGCCCCTTGTAGTTTATTTGTCTAGAATGTGTGTCATAGTAGTATTTCATCTAAAGGATGTGATGACGGATTTTAAATCTTATGTATATATTATGACTTTGTATTTATTGAACCGTGTATTGTTTCAGGGTGTTGTTAATATTGGAATAAAAGGTCTCACCCCCGTAACCAGTGTCCTGGATAATTTTGTTGACATCCAATCACTATCCCGGTTACATTTTCATAGCCCAACAATTCATGTCGAACGTTCAATTCATGTCAATGTGTATGGCCTCCACACTCCAATGTGGTTGCGTTTCAAACACTTTGTTTGACGTGCGAAAATCACACCCGATGCATGAAGAAATTCTTATTTGACATTCATTTTGTATGAATATCAGCAAAACTCTTTCAGATATTTCCAGTTTTCCTCTTTTTACGTTACGTCAGACTGCGCCAGAGGGTTACTTTTCACCAGTACGTCATCGGGTTAATGTTGAAATGTACTGCAGATCAAAATTGTCTTCCTGGATGTTTCACTTTGTAAATGGGACTGTGGATTCTAACATTTCACAGCCATGGACAGCAAGGAGTATAGGAAGGAAGTGAGATTCAGCCAAGTCGAACTTTGCTCTGGAAACAGTAACATGTGAGTATGTTTTGCAGTTGGAATTTTGTTGGTTTTTTTAATTAAAAATAAATATGGAGAAGTGTAATCGTCCACCATTATTTCTACTTTTGAGAATATGTTACCCCGATGTAAGATGTCTTTTCGATTTCTAAGGAACGACTTGGTTCAGTAAAACAGTGCAAATATGCAACAGGTTAAGATGAAATTTCAAACAGATCTTTGTGGCACTATTTCTTCTTTCAGAACCATTATTGGAACTGAAAAACATTATGAGTGTTTGTCTTGAACTTCGGTTATGTTTAGATTTAGAGTCAATGGACTATGGAGGAAGCAGAGAAAGGTCTGGGGAAATTATGAAGATGTGTGAACAGGAATGAATGAAACTTAGACAGCAGGTATAAAATGATAGGGAACAAGAACGAAATAAACATCAGTGAAGCAAAATGTCAGAATAGGAGGAAATCCTATATGACCACATAGAGGTCAGAGAATTTGGAGACAATCATCAAGAGTCACTAGACAGAAGGAGGAAGCACTGCTGGTGCACCAAGAACCACAAAGAACTATCCAGTTCAAAGCAAATCAGCTACACATCTCCATCACAGACACGACACATAAAATACACTGCATAAAGTGAAACTCCACAGAACGAGCGTCTTTCTAATGCGGGCAAACACGCAGGGGCGGATCCAGAGAGGGGTGGGGTTGGTTCAGGGTGTTCACCCCCCACCCTTCTCCCTCGACAAAATTTTCCCCTAACCTTTTGACTTCATGACTTTATGTGTACCCACCGTATCCAAAATCCTGGATCCGCCCCCAGAAACACAAATATTAACAAAGCAAACACACACAAAAAAGAACACGTAGAGAGAAAATGATCAATCAATTTGAGAATAAAAACAGAGAAATTGGAAGTATAATAAATGACATACTGAGAGCACAATGTCCATATGTGGAGGAAGCTATCAGGAAACATTGACAAAAATTGAAATATAACACCTTTACATCTAACTTCACTTGCGAAAAAACACATTGTGCGTCATTAAACATGTGTGTGGTTGAATATCTCGGAGCTAATGGATTTGTAACTGAGATCCTGAAATACCGTGTGTGTGTGTGTGTGTGTGTGTGTGTGTGTGTGTGTGTGTGTGTGTGTGTGTGTGTGTGTGTGTGTGTGTGTGTGTGTGTGTGTGTGTGTGTGTGTGTGTGTGTGTGTGTGTGTGTGTGTGTGTGTGTTTTTCATCGGTGTAAAATGGCAATTTTAAGAACGTACAACACTGGAGCTGAGAAGGGTTTTGATTCACACATCATTTCGTGCACGAAAGGATTTTGCCTCTGTGCTAGGGGAACAATCTTATCATTGTTTAGCATTTTCACTCTCACCCTGTACGTATTGTAGCACCTGGTAGCTGAGCATTGTTTGCATGCACGGTTCCCGCTCAGTTGGATCAATAGACATTGACATAGTGGACGGTGCATCATTGTCAACAAAGTTAACACATGTATTTCTGAAACGATTTATTGATATCCTGAAACATTAAGAGCACCGAGTATTCCATTGACATTTATAAGAAATTAAACATTAAGTCGTACACCATTCCCCGTCTCTTAGGGCAGTGTACTGTTTGTGCTGCCTTATTATAGGAAGTGTTGTGTTTTCCCCGGATACAACCGCCCGCCAACAGATTACCAGCCTCACCTCACCAGTTTATTGTTTGCCAAGTTGTCAGGTTACAGTGAGACCTGATATTATGATAAGTAGCTGGTGTTTGGATTTCAACGCACTTCGGCTTTTTCAGCTTTAGGTACACATTTGTTGCAATCTGTAGAAAGGCTAACATGCCAATATTAACTATTTCTTTGTTCTAAAACACATGCGTGTACAGAATCGTCTGGTCGATTTGGGTAGAGGATTACTCATTACAGTAAGCCAATTACACAGAAAAACCCTGCAACATACCACACATTTACCTTGCCACATGAGGCAGCGTCAAGCCAATCACATACTGCTTCTCTAATCTATGGTTCATTGGCCTCTTCTGCAGTATAACAAGGGAGTTGTCTCCATTACTCCCACATATGAAGGCTAACAGTGCATCAGTGAAGACGATACAAGGTGTGACGACCGTGAGTTGAGATAATCTGGAAACATGTGTCGGGTCTTTCTGGTGCTTCTCATCTCTGTTTCAAAGCAGACAGCTAACATTCTCTGCCACCATAGATACCTTACATCGTCTACGTCATCACTTATTCACCAACTACACCTCAGATGTAAGGCCGTTACTAAACCAGTCACAACCTCTTGTCATGGATGTCGATTTCCAGTCCATAAGGATTCATCACATTGACAACACACAAAAGGAGTTCTCCATCCGGGAATACTGTCCCTTGCTTGGAAAGACGAGCTCCTCTCTTGGAAATCAGCTGAGTTTGGAGGTCTGAAACACTATCACCCAAAGACAGAGGAAATTTGGATTCCACGCATACTCAATGAAGACGGTATTGAAGGCCAAGACGTTATGGACACGATAACAAGGCGTGTGTTGTACAAAAATGGATCGGTTCTGGTTCATGTTCCTGGGTATTTCTCAACCTTCTGTAATTTTGACATGACATATTTCCCGTTTGATAGTCAGACTTGTAACATCTGTCTGAACTCCTTAGATTATTTTGCTGAAGAACTGGAATTCCGTCTTCTTTCAAAACAAGTGACGACCATTGGACATTACAACGCAGATGCTGAATGGACTTTGGTCTGGGGTACGATGGCAAATGGTCAAATCATCAATACTGCACATAGGTACAACAGAGTTAGCATCACGTTCCTGGTAGCCAGAAAGCCTTTGTTTGCCATTTTAAACATCGTCATCCCCATCGTCACCATCTCCGTCCTGAGCATGATGGTGTTCCTCGTCCCCGTGGAGTCTGGGGAGAAGTTGTCCTTCTCTCTGTCAGCGTTGTTGTCACTGGCAGTCTTCATGAGCTTCATCAGTGAACAGATTCCTGCATCGTCGGAGAAACCACCACTGCTGGTCATCTACCTGACGTCGATGGTTCTGCTGAATGCTCTGTCAGTCGCCAGCACAGTTATCGTCTTGCTGTGTGCCATCACCGAGGCTCTGTTGACAAGGGAAACCAGAGCATACAACAGTTCATTCAACCCGAATACTGCTGATGTTGGGAACGAGAAACCTTCATTTAGAAAACTCAATCCGTTGATCTGCTTTGGGAAGAATAAGAAGTATATGTCAGCCAGCCGTGCCTTGAACAACACGCTGCTTCTGCTATTTATGGGTGTTGTCATTGGAATTACTATTGGTATCATGGCTCGAATGACAAATAACAACTGACATTTTAATAGCTACTCCGAACAAACAAAACGTCGGATTTTACTTCAATCAGAAATATATTTCATTGCTATGATTGTGTAAACTATTATTTGATATTCCACAACATGCACTGCCTTGTGATTTGACATCGACAGCAGTAACTGAAACATCCGTGGAGCGATGTGGCTGTGCTCACTGTGGAAGTGGTATCACAACAGAAAGTAACCTTATCAAAACCGTGTGTGGCCCTCGCCTGCATCAATCAGAGAGCTCTGTATCGTTGTCTTATTGACGTCACTGATCCATGAATTTCCTGTGGCAGAATGTTATTCCATTCTTCAAGGCAGTTTCAAATTCGGGAAGGTTCTGACTTGGTTTAACATGTCTGTCCATGCAGCGAATATTCTGATTTCCACGAATAGGAACAAGACCGGTGTGACAACTGTGTGCAATTCACAAGCCATTACAGATCCACCTTCTCCTAAACGGTTCCTCTCAGACAAGCGTCAGCATAACGTTTATTCCTCTGGCTCTACACCTGATGTCTATCCTCGCCTTTTGAAAGTAAAAAACGCCATCCAGATGTCCACTCTCGACGTTGACGTCAGTAATGTGGATAAGAACCGGGCTAACGCAATGCTTCATGGCTCAGATCATGCTGTCGCAGCTGATAGCGAACAGTTTGATCACTGATTCAGTTATGAGTTCCTTTAGTGGTCTGTGTAGTAACGGTTGCTGGGAGAAAACGATTGCGTAAATGTCCAGTGAAGTGGTGTGAACTTTGGTAGTAATACGTGGATGACCCTTTCGTGGACGATCAGTGGTTACTCCGGTAACATTGTAACGCATCCTACGACGTGTACGGACCTCACGACCGCACCAACTTGTAAAGGAGCGTCTGCAGTACGCATGCCAGCGTGAAACCTTTCGATGGCTCCGTTAGGAACATTATTGAGGAGTCTTGGCATTTTCAGAATCTGATCAATGTCGAAAGACTGTGTTCAAATTGTTTTCTAACAACTGAATTCAATGATGACCAGATACCTTAACATTCGCATGTACGACATGTAAATCGTGCGATCCACGATGTTCTTAGGATTGTAGTTTTAACGTTTGTATTAGCTGATACCCTATGTTTGTCGTATCTATCAACTATGGTGTCTAAGAAAAAAAATATAAATATAATTTAGTTGAGTCATTTTATAAATAGTAGTTACAGTTTTATGATG